TGCATTCGTTTGACGTCCAAACAGGAGATCGCTGATTGCATTGCTAAAAAATCTCTTTCGGAAAAAAATACTTGTGAAAGCTGCGAGAAACTGCCACCGGCGGCAGGCCGCACGTGCGAATGCCGGACATTTTGGAAGGCACACCGCGTGCACCTGTCGTCGCTGACGCCGCGCACGCCACGACTAGCTCTTGCCTTCCGAAGTTTCAAGTTATCGTCTCCAATCACCACAACCCTCCGGAAGGCAAGAGCCATCCAATCACCACAACCCTCCCACAAAACTACACGAACCTCTCAATCACGGCCCATAGCAATGCACCTCGCCCCACCCCTCACCCGTCAAGATTGGCAACGGCTGGAACGCCGCGAGCTTGGTCGCCCACCACGGCGGCGGCGGGAGCAGCGCCACCTCGTCGGGCGCACACGGCGAGAGGAGGCCCGCGAGGAGGCCCTTGCCGACGTGGCACTTGGCGCTGCCACTAGCCGCGTCGTACGTGTACGTGACGTGTGTGCCCTTGCTTTTGGCGCGCCACGCCTCGGCGCTCGCCGCGCCGTTCGGCGGCTCGAGCGTGTCGAGGCGCGCATACTCGAGCGCAAAGGACTTGCCGGCGGCCTTGGCCTCGCCAATGAGGCGGCGCAGCTCGATCGCGGGCAGCGTGTACCGCGCGTCGGGCTTGGACGCGGCGTCCTCGGGCACGGGCCCCGCGACGGCCATCAGCCCGATGACGCGGCCGAGCATAGGGTTCCACATGCGTGCCGAGTGGCCGACGCTCTTGAGCAGCTGGCGCGCGGCCGGGTCGAACGAGGCCGTCACCTCGGCGGGGTACTGCCGGCCGATGAGGAGCGAGGACGTCTTGTGCACGCGGATGACGCTGAAGGCGCCCACGCCGAGGGACGCGTGCAGCAGGCCGGTCGGCACGAGCAGGTGGTTGGAGCCGGCGTGGTAGCGCTGGTTCGAGAACATATTGGGCGCCATCTGGTCGAGGACGCCGAGGCTCGGCAGCACAAACGCGTAGAGCACCGCCGCGACCAGCGGCAGCGTCACGCGCGTCGCCGATACTGATGCTGCGGGAGGCGGCGCTGTCGTCGTCGGCGTGGTCGCCGTGAACATGGGCATCTTGTAGACGGTGCGTGCGAGGATGACGAGCTGGACGAAGTAGGCGCACGGCGCCGTGTCAAAGAAGAAGGGGTGCGTGCCGACGCGGCGGCCGAGGGAGAAGGCGATGCCGGTGGCGAGCGCGAGGGCGCGCGCGGTCGTGTCGCCTTTTGCGACCTCGGAGAGCACCGCGGCGGTGGCGTCCGGCGCGAAGAAGAAGAGGTACTGCGCGGCGCAGACGGAGAAGCCGCCGGCGTTATTGGGCGGCGGCGTGAGGACGACGAGGAGGTGGAAGAGGAGCGCGAGGGCGAGGCCGAGCTTCCGCCAGCAGAGGAGCAGGATGGGCACGAGGAGCTCGACGGCGAGGGCGGCGAGGGGCGCGGCGAGGCGGAGCAGCGACGCGACGGCGGGGCTGGTGACGACGCTGGAGGGCGCGTACGCGGCCAGGAGCTGGGCGAAGAAGATGGTGCCGCACGAGGTGGTCGCGTCGAGGAACCTGCCGCAAAAGGGAGGGGGCACGCTCGAGCGCTCGCCTGTCAGCAGGCCAGAGTAACGCCGCGGTTCGGGTATCACGCGTGGTGGACGGCGCACGACGTGTTAATCTTCCAGAAGGCGGCGCCCGCGTAGAAGGTGATGAGCTGCGCGCGGATGGCGGCCGCGGCTCTGACGACGTCGCAGCCGCTGCACAGCAGCGTGAGGTCCATGAGGACCGCCCAGATCTCGACCTCCCAGATAAAGGGCACGTTGATGAGGCGGAGGCAGAGCCGCGCGAGGGTGGTCGCGGCGAAGAGGCGCTTCGAGGCGGTGAGGCTCGTGAGCAGCACGCACGCGATCAGCACCGTGTTCGAGCGCGCGAACAGTCCGCCCACGGACGAGCCGCCGTAGCACTGCATCAGCCCCTGCAGGAGCCACACGCTGCGCACGTACGCCGAGAAGAGCCGCACGGACTCCGCCGCGCCGGCCGCGTCGTCCTCCTTCGCCGCCACTGCGCCGCCGCCGTGTCCGCCGCGCAGCCGGATAAAGGCGGCCGCGGCGCTGCTCGCGTCGTTGAGGTGCACCTGCTTTCCACGCACCCACACGGCCGCGACGTTGCGGTCGTCGCCGAGGTTGACATACTTTTCGAGCACGCCCAGCGCCATCGCCTCCTCCGGCGGCTTGTCCTTCATCTGCGTGCTGCTGCTGTTCCTCCTCGTGCCGCCCGGCAGCAGTAGCACGTCGCCGGCGGACGGGTCGACGAGCTGCGCGTCAAACTCATTGCCGACCTCGAAGCCTCCGATGGGCATGCTGAGGGCCGCGGCGCCGCCGCGCGTCGCAAGCCAGAAGGCGTACTTCCAGTCGACGGTCGTGTCCTTGTGCAGGCAGCGCGAGGCGATGACTGCCGTGCGGCACGCGTGGAGCATCGACGGGGCGTAGCCGCCGGCGGTGTCCGTCGCGAGTCCGACGTTACATCCGCAGCGCCACGCGTTCGGCGCGTCGAGGGTGGACGCGGGCTTCTCCGTGTGGAAGACGTTGCTCAGCGGGCAGAAGGCGAGCGCCGACTTGCGGCGGGCGATGAGCTGCAGCTCGCTCTCGTCGAGATGCATGGCGTGGGCAAGGACGCAGCGGTCGGTGAGCAGCCCGGCGGCGTCGAAGAGCGCCGCGTCGCGCTGGCCCGGGTGCAGCTTCTCCACAAAGGCGAGCTGGTCGGCCGATTGGGCGATGTGCGACTGCACGAAGACCTTGTTGGCGCGCGAGCCGCCGTCGCCCCCATCACTGCCATTGTACTTGCGGGCGATCTCGCCGAGACCCGCGAGCAGCGCGGTGCTGCACGTCGGGATGAAACGCGGCGTGAGCGCCGGGTGGACGAGCGGCCCATTCGGATGTGCGACCTCCGCCTTGGCGATCGTCGCCTGCACGAAGGCCTCCATATCGCTCAGCGACGCCTCGGTGGACTCGACATAGTCGGCCGGCGAGCAGCGGTCCATGCACACCTTGCCGACGACGGCGCGCAGGCCTTGCTCAAGGCACGCGTCGACGAGCTTGAGAGTGCCCTCGAGGTGGATTGTGCCAAAGTAAACGGCGGTCGTGCATCCGTGCTTGAGCGCGCGGCGCACGACCGCGCCCGAAACCTCCGCCGCAACCGTCGGGTCGGCCCAGGCGCGCTCGGCGGGATAGGTGTAGCACTCTAGCCAGCCGGTTGGGCCGAGCAGCGGTCGGTCAGTGCCGCTCCCGGCAAACGTGACCTGCGCCGGGTGCACATGAGTATCCACGAAGCCAGGTAATATAATGCTATCCTCGGCGAGTTGCGTGACGTCATGCAACGTCGATTGCAGTGCATCAGCGTCGGCGCCTTGCACAATATTGGTGATAACGCCATCAGTGACGACGACGAGCGCATCGCGCAATACCTCGATTGTGGACGGCGACGTGGCATGCGCTAGCGTGCCGCGCAGGGCAAACGTCTTGGAGCACATTTGAGGACCATGCCCTCGCCTGGGGTACATCTGAGGATCTGTCGGCCGTCGTCATGACACAAAGAATTGTTAAAACACAAGCCTCTCTCACAGCACACTGGCACGACAAGGGCGCGAAGAATACCTCCCCGCTGTGCTTCGGTTGTTGTTTTGTGTTCCGTGTGTGTGTACATATATGTAACATGTATCTTCTGGTGCGTATGTGGTGGTCGCCTGCACATCTGCACATCGGCCTCTGGCCTGCCGCGCATCCGCCGGATCCGGCGCACACCGGCCCTGATATTAAACTACAGCGGGATTATGCGAAAGAACATGCTCAGTGCGCTCAGTGCTCGCGCCGGCCCGCCACCCCGCCCGCGGCGCATGCGGTTTTGCTGCCCCCAACCCTCCTTCTCCAGCCGGGCAACCTTCTCCTCGCGCGTCTCCTTCGCTTCCCCGCCGCTCTGGCCATCCCCGCCGCCGCCCTCGCCCCCGCCATTCACCCCACCCTCGCCTCCGCCCTCGCCTCCGCCCTCGCCTCCTCCGCCCTCGCCGCCACCACCCTCTCCATTGCCACCCGGGCCGACCGCACCGCTCCCGCCACCTTCACCACCGCTGCTGCCCCCACTGCCACCGCCACCGCCGCCGCCGCCGCCGCCGCCGCCGCCGCCGCCGCCGCCGCCGCCGCCGCCGCCGCCGCCGCCGCCGCCGCCGCCGCCGCCACCGCCACCGCCGCCGCCCTCGCCGCCGCCGCCCTCGACACCGCCGACCCCACTTCCGCCAGCCTCGCCTCCGTGGTCACTGTTCTTCCCACTGCCGCCGTCACCGCCATCGCCAAATTTCGACTCAAAGAAGTTTCGCCGCCGGTGACGCGCGTACGCCGAGCGTCCAATCCTCGCTGTCACCAGCAGTCCAACCACCTTTTGCCACACCTGTGCGTTCACGACGGCCCTGCCGACGCGCTTTGCGGTGGAGATTACCTTTGTGACGCCACTCTTGAGCCCGTTCGCAGACCCGGAGATCGCGGTCTTGATTTTGAATTGCTGTGCACCGCCCTCCTGCGCGACACGCGCGTTGAAGGCCGCGGCGAGCGCGTCAACGCTCAGATCCGACGAGTCCGGGGTCAGCTCATCGCCATTCTCGGCAGACGCTTGCAGCACCGGCCGGCAGCCGCGGAGAGCGCCACCGTGGAGCGGCCGCCGCGCCGGGATGAGGAGGGCGCCGACGGCGTTACAGAGGACGAGCACGCACGCCGTGCGTAGCATCATGCTTCGCAACCCCCTGCGGCCACAGACAAGCAGCTGCAGAAATGAAGAAATCGCACTGGGGAAGAAATCGTGCACGCTTCTCCGTTTTGAGGGGGGCGGGGAAGCTTAACTTTGAACAATATTCTTTGTCCCGCTCGTCGACGTCGCGTCGGACGTCGTCGTCGATCCACGAAGCACGATCGTCGTGTCTGATCGCTGCGGTGCCACCGGTGTAGAATACCTCTACATGATTGCACTACAAGTTAGACTCTCCACACGCACCGGCCCAAGCTCTCGCCAAACCCCCAGACCCCCCGAGCGCGGCGCCCCGCCAGGACGCCGCCCACGGTGCATTCGGGGCAAGGGCCCCCCCTCGGGCCGTACATGCGAGGCCAAAGAGAGGGGCCAGACCGCCAGGCGTGGGGAGGTGGATCGTGGCGACGCCCCCCGGGCGCCTCTCCCGCGCGCAAGTGTCCAAGCGGCGCCTACTGCTTCTTGGAGAGCTCCGGGATGGCGGCCGCCGCGCCGCACGCCGCCATGCCCAGCGAGGCGAGCACAAAAGAGCCGACGCGGGCGGGGCCCTTCTCGACGTCGTCGAGCGCAGCCTCAAGCACGGGCTGGGGCGGGACGGGGATCGGCCACACCGGGTTCCCCGTGAGAGACTCGTGGATGAGCATGCCAGAGATGCCCATCATGGCGGCGCGGCCGTTGTTGCGCTCTGCGTCCGGCGGGGCGGCGGTGAGGGGAGCGAGGGCGAGGGGAGCGAGGGCGAGGGGAGCGAGGGGAGCGAGGGCGAGGGGCCGGGCGGGTGCGGGGAGGGAACATGGCCCGTGGCAGGGCAGGGCGGGGGGGCGGGGGGCGGCCGGGCCCCCGCACCGGCGTTCAGCTTGAACTCCTTGCCAGAGAAGCCCTCGACGTCGGGGTAGCGCACCCAGAAGAAGGGGATGACGTCACCCGGCGCCTTGGCCGGGTCCTGCGCCAGCACGCTGTTGTCGAGCAGCGCCACGATGAGGACGATCTGAATCCACGCCAGGTTTGGCAGCGCCGCCCACGACGCGAGCGTGCCGCCAGGCATGTCCGAGAACTTGATGTCCTCAGCAAAGGAGAGGTAGCCGGGCCAGCGGATGCCAGCCTCGGTGAGGATGACGTGCAGGGTGGCCGCCATCGCGAAGCGGCCGTGCTTGATCTCCATCTCCTGCCAGCGGCGGTACTTGTCGGGCATACGCGTCATCAGGCCGAGCGGGTCGTACACGCCCAGCGGCTTGGTGGTGCCGACGTCGCCCGGCGTGATGGCCGCCATGCGTGCGTTGGACACGGCCGGGCGCACGACCGGCGCATTGAGCGAGAGCGACGAGACGGCAGTGGAGAGCATGACTGTGGAGGGAGGCCGGGATGTGTGAGGCACAGAGAGGGACGGGCGATGACGTCGGGGCGCAGAGCGGAGGAGCGCAGTTTCGTGTGCCGTGAGAGAGGGAGCCGCGCGTGTGGATGCGGCAGCGCTGTGGCCGCTGAGCCGCACAGCTCGCATCCGGTGCGAACTGGCAATCCGGAGGGAACTGCGGTCTGGACCACGCTGCGCAGCGCGCCGCCACTCGGTGGCGGTGCCACTGCTGCAGGCAAGACGCAGCGGCCTCAGCGCACCCTCTGTGTGGCGCGGCCTCTCTGCGGCGAGGCGGTGCAGCAGTCCTCGAAGTGTGCGTGTGGGGGGGGTGGCGAGGGCTGCGCAGATGCGCGCCCGCTCGGGAGGTTCACCCTGCGAGCTGCTGCTATTATTGGCAAGAAAAAGAAAGAGGCGTGCAAGACACACACTCCTCGACACAACATCCCTGTCGTGTGTGGACTGTGGCGGTTATTCTCCCACCCCTCCCTTGGTTTTGGGTCGCTTTTCGCTTTATTTTTCTTTCCAGCTCTCACTCCCTCGGCGGTCGGCGCTCGGGTTGTTGTATGTTGTCTGTCTTTTATCTGTACTAACGCACACACATTATCGGCACAATGAAAGATGTACGCCACCGTTTAGCAAGGGGTGCCAACCCCCATGCGGTCTCAGAGAAGGGGGGGCTTCATCTCTCTCATACTAGCTCTCATATGCAGCCACGCCACCCCGGCCGGCCGTCGGATCCCACACACACAGCCACTGCAGCCCGTGCCCAACACGCTACCACGCGTTTTGGAACAGGGTAAATACACGCGCGCGGTCCCGAGAGAGCGTGCCTCGGGTCATGCATGGAGTGCACGGTACTCGTCTGTTGCCATATCCCAAACTGTCCGCGTCCCTGGCTTCGGACACAGGGGGTCTGTAACCACTGACTCGCGTCCGGCGACGGCATCGATGCTGTCCGCCCGAGCGTGACTCGCAACTCCACGATTTGCCGTCCACGGACAAAGCGGCTCCCCTCCATCATAGTTGAACCGTCTCAATAGTTACATACATACTCGCAAGATATATGGGTGGCGGGTGCATTTTGCCGATCGTTTTGCTTATCGGCCCTGAACCACGAGACTCATTGCTCAAAGTCAGCACAAAAATCGATGATAACCGCAGACCGAGAGTTTCTTGAGAAACAGAGTGAGCTGGTTCAGTGAAGGTGGCCCAGCCACACCCGCGGTCGGAGCAGGGGAGGGGGCAATCAAGGAGAGTGACGGCGCGGTAGATAGATGTTCAGTTCGGGGCGCAAGATGTGGTGAGCTACTCTGCGTTCTCGCACATTTTCTAAGTGTGCGTGTGGGGGGGGGGTGGCGAGGGCTGCGCAGATGCGCGCCCGCGATCCGCTGGGAGAGCTGAACCTCTGCGAGCTGCTGCTATTATTGGCAAGAAAAAGAAAGAGGCGTGCAAGACACACACTCCTCGACACAACATCCCTGTCGTGTGTGGACTGTGGCGGTTATTCTCCCACCCCTCCCTTGGTTTTGGGTCGCTTTTCGCTTTATTTTTCTTTCCAGCTCACTCCCTCGGCGGTCGGCGCTCGGGTTGTTGTATGTTGTCTGTCTTTTATCTGTACTAACGCACACACATTATCGGCACAATGAAAGATGTACGCCACCGTTTAGCAAGGGGTGCCAACCCCCATGCGGCCTCAGAGAAGGGGGGGCTTCATCTCTCTCATACTAGCTCTCATATGCAGCCACGCCACCCCGGCCGGCCGTCGGATCCCACACACACAGCCACTGCAGCCCGTGCCCAACACGCTACCACGCGTTTTGGAACAGGGTAAATACACGCGCGCGGTCCCGAGAGAGCGTGCCTCGGGTCATCACATGCATGGAGTGCACGGTACTCGTCTGTTGCCATATCCCAAACTGTCCGCGTCCCTGGCTTCGGACACAGGGGGTCTGGGGTGATGCTCCGATAAACCCTCCGGATCTTCGACAAAAGTTGGACATTTCTTTTTTCAAAGTGCAAGGTGTGAATAAGAGGTTTATGATAGGGCTACTACGACGAACTATGCGGCAATCGACTGGGGCGCAGGGCCCCAGCACATCCCGCACAGAGACCTCGTAGTAACCCTACTAGTACCGCCGATGCGATTGCTCGATAAGCGGTGAGAGTAACGGACGGTCGCACAGAAGTTCCCACACGTGGGCACTCATGAAGGGCGCCTGGGTCTAAATTTAGTGCGTGTGAATGAACTTTAGTGATAGTTTAGTGCGCTATTTAGTGTGTGTGTTCGAGTGCGTGTGTAGTGCGTCTTTAGCGCAAATTTAGCACATATATATACGAGTAGCACATATTTAGAGTGTTTTATCTCCAATTTAGCGCCACATTTAGTTCACTTTAGGTGCGGGCAGCTGCAGTACATTTAGTGTAGGTCCCGCTTCTTTAGTGCGGGCACGCACCTTTAGCACGGCTTCCCGGCCACACCACAGCTAGCCAGGGCCGCGTGCTTTGCTCCTTGGCGTTCGCGGTTGGGGACGGGACAGGGAACTTTTCCCAGGTTATACCCGCAAAATACCCGGTATTATTGCCAATTTGGCTGAATTTGGCCGCAAACCAGCCTCTAGACTCGGCTCAGATCCCGAAAAATTGATGATTCCATTGAGGCTAGTGCCATTTCACTCTGACACGCTAATCTTGAAAACGTCTCCAACGGAGCTCCGTGTTGCTTCCAGCGCCCTCCCCCGCGCTCCCCTGCGGCCATGGCCGATGCTCCTAGAAAGAGAGGTCATCTGGCTACCGCGAGAGCGACCCAACTCGTCGACATCGTCCGATGATGGTGCCGCAAAGTCAGCCTTCGGAGGCTATCGTGGGGTCGAGCCGGCAGTAGCCGTGACATGTGGTTCCACCACCCCTCGTAGGCTTTGCCTCTGACCGCCACCGTTCCCAGGCTGCCTAATTGGATGGAAAG